TAGGCCCGGAGGCCACGCGCAGGCCCGGCGGCCACGCCCCTATGGTGTTGAAGTTTCAGGAAACGACACAGCCAGGACATGAGGCAATGGAGTGGCCTGTATCAATAGCTGGACAGAATCAGAATGTGGAGGGAGAGCAGAACCAGGAGTAAACTGAACTCCAAAAATAACTTTTCTAAGAATCACACTTTTATTTAATGGTAGGTAACTTCTTTTTTTTTTTTTGGAAAGATTTTCACTGTAGGGTGCGTGCGCTCGCCAGACAGACAGAAAGCGAGAAATCACCCCCCAGGGAGGATGGTCACACCGCAATCCCTTCTCCTCCATTCTCCTCTCGGGATCTTGGGCACGCACGCACACGTGCCTGGCGTGAGTATTAAGCCACCAGGTCCGGGACACGAACCGCGGTCAACTACGTGGGAGTCCAGCGACATAGCCATTATGCTAACTGCTGGTTCCCAATGGTAGGTAACTTCTAAAAAGGGAATATTTATTTTTTTAAAATTTTGCCAGAGGGTGTATGCACTTGCCAGAGACAAACAGAAAAGGAGATACCCTGAGTGGGGCATAGTCTCACTGCAATCCCTTCTCCATTTTTCCACCTGTCAAGATTTTAGGCACACATGTACATGTGCCTGGCATGTTTCTTTTTTTTCCTTTGGAGTTTTTTTTTTTTTTTGCTATAGGGTGTGTGTGCTCGCCAGAAAGAGACAGAGATAGAAAGTAAGAAATCAACCCTTAGGGCGGATGGCCATTCTCCAAGTCCTTCCCCTCCATTCTCCTCTTGGGATCTTGGGCACGCACATGCGCCCAGCATGAGTTTAAGCCACTGGGTCTGGGACTCGAACCGCGGATGACTACATGGGAGGGCGGCGACATAGCCATTATGCCAACTTCTGGTCCCTGCCTGGCATGTTTCTTAAACTGCTGGGCCTGGAACTTGAACTGCAAGGTTGGCCATGTGGGGTCTGGCTGCTTTAACCACAAGGTCATGGAGATGGAACAGGTTCTTTTTAGTAACATCTCATGAGAAGAAAATTAAGTTTTAGAGGGTGGGTAGGAGGGGCAAGGGGAAGAAATACTTAACAGAACCAAGAATGTAAAAATTCTTTATTTAAAATGAGGTACCTGGGGGCTGGCAGGTGGTAGCATGATGGTTAATGTGCTCTACTCTCACAGGGCTGACTGTGGTTTGAGTCCCAGACCTGGCAGCTTGCTTTCTCACTTGCTCTCTCTTGGTCTCTCTCTGGTCAAATCAAAAAAAAATTTTTTTTAGATAAACAATTCTATTTTTTTTTTGTGAAGACAATTCTTTAGAAACAATGAAAAGAAAATGAGGCACTCTATATCAAAACTGAAAAAAAAAGAAAAGATATCCATGGTAATATCCTTTGATTTGATGGTCAAAACTAATTAAAAAAATAGATTTGAAAAAAAAAAAGGAATAATGACTACATGGACTATTAACATATCATATGGAAGGGGCAGCAGGTTAAAGTGCTGGGCTCCCACATGGCTGACCACAGTTTGAGTCCTGGATCTGGTGGCTTGAAACTCACACTAGGCATGTATGTGTTTGTGTCAAAATCTCAGGAGAATGGACAAGGGATTACGGCATAGGAATCCTCACGGTGGGTGATTTCTCACTTGTCTCTCCATCTCCCTGGTGAGCGCACGTGCCCTATGGCAGAAACTTGGAAAAAAATAAAACATGGTCAAGCAAATGAAAGAGTAGACCCCAAGTGGTGAGGATGCAGAGTGGAAGGAAGTGGGCATGCTCTGCTGTGGGTGGGACTCGAAGTAAGGAAGGGAGAAGCAAATGGATAGAAGAGCTGAGCTGCCTTCACCAAAATAATGAAGCAAAGAAAAATTACCACCCCGTAATCCACAGCTTTCATCGGCAACACAAATATTACAGATGGTCCCTGAGACTGGGCCAGTCTCCTGCTACTCATTGTTCTTAAGATGGCAGCAAGGATTGGTGATTTTCAGGCTGTAGGTGATAATTCCCTAGTCGCAATGAAAACTAGGGTATATAGTAGGTGAGGATTAAAATTTTGTGAAACTTTCCTTTTGGTTATACATGTATAGAGGTCAAAATGCCTTTTTTTTTTTTTTTTTTGAGATGTTTTTGCTATAGGACGTGTGCATTCGCCAGACAGAGACAGAGAGACAGAAAGCGAGAAATCACCCCCCAGGGGGGATGGCCACGCCACAATCCCTTCTCCTCCATTCTCTTCTTGGGATCTTGGGCACACATGCACATGCGCCCAGCGTGAGTTTAAGCCACCACGTCCGGGACTCGAATCGTGGTCGACTACGTGGGAGTCCAGCGACATAGCCATTATGCTAACTGCTGGTCCCAAAATGCCTTTTTAAAAGTATTTGAAAGCCTACAGGTTCAGAGAGCTGGGAGGGAAAAGGACTCCTACTAGTCCCTAACTGAAGCAAACGCTTCACTGTAATCATTGTATAGATAAAATGAGAACATCCCCCACAAAATCCAGAAAACAAAAATACTTACAACTCAATATCTATCAATGATACCAACATGAAGAGACTGGCACTATTAATTACCATTTATAATATAAATATGTTATTGACAGTAGAAAAATTAAAGACTTTGAAAACCTCAACAAAGGTCAAAGGACATACAAGCAAGTAGTATACAGTGCGTTTCCTTAGAAGATAAATTTTAATATACAGAATAAAATCCAAGGTGATATTATTTTTCACTTTCCCAGTAATTTAGGGGTATGAAAGCTTCTGAATCTGATCAGTGAAGGTTATGTTTTGGTCCAATACATTATTTGACTAAATGTATGATCAAGTCCGGCTTGATTATTATAAATCATAGAAGTTTACAGAATTCACTTTATAAATCTGGTGCTTTTATCAATAGAAAGATTTCCAATTTTTTTGTAGCCAAGAGTTTACTCGACTTTAGTCTCAGAACCAGATTCAAAATAAGATATCTTCTTTAAACAGTTGGTCATCGTTTTAAGCTTATTCTGGGCAAATTATTTAACACTTTATTGAAGATCATACAAAAACTCCACAATAAATAATGAAAAGAGTCCGCAAAAATCATCAGTCTCTGTTTGCAATTACACAAAATACATGTCAATTCTGGGCCAAAATAATTCCACTGGAATACAAAAGTATCAGAAAAGAATGAAAAGATTTGTAGTGACGGCTTTCGGTGGTCAGTTATTCCCAACAACCATCAGCTATTCTGGAAAGTGAAAGTGGATTTTAATTTGCAGATAAAGAATGTCTTCAGCAGTTTAAAAAAATATAAACTCTAAAAAGGTTTGTGAGTCATATACAAAAGCAGCTTTCTGAGACCAAGGCTGAAAACCAGAAGTTGTGTTAGCACCACCAGCAAGCACAGGGCCCTCCGCCTGCCGCCATCGGTCTCGTGCGGAATGCAGACCTGAAGACTACAAGCCAGCTGCAGTACGAAAACCACCCGCGGGTCCAGCTTCCTGTGGAGCACTCCTCAGCCCTAAGAGGCACGAAGCGGTTACAAAGGCTAGGTAACAATCAGGATCACAAGGTCCGACGGTACAAGAAATCCCGTGTTGCCTTATCAACTTTTTGCTGGTAGTCTTCCAATTTGTCAAGTATTTTCTGGGACAGCTGTTAAGAGAAAAGAAGGGAATTGTAACAGATAACTCAAGGCTTGAAAAAGACTGAAGTTGGGGCCAGTATATGGTGATTGAGGAGCTGGACTTCCCACTTAGCTGACTACAGTTCAAGTCCTGGGCCTGGCAGCTTGCTTTCTCATTTTCCCTCTTTCTTTCTGTTCTATCTCTGATGAACTAAAAAAATAAGTAAATTAAATAAGTAAAATTAAATAAATAATTCTTAAAAAAAAGGACTGATGTTATTAATCACTTTGACCTCACCAATTAGACTCTACCTAACAAAGATGTTAGCCACTCTGCTTCATTTAATAACCACTTTCTTTAAAAATTTTTTTATTTAAATTTATTTATTTAAATTCATTTACTATACATCATTACAGCACTACAAAATGAGATTCTTTTTTTTGGGAGAAGTTTCTTGCTATAGGGCGCGTGTGCTTATCAGAAAGACAGAGACAGAGAGACAAAAAGTGAGAAATCAACCCCCCAGGGATTCTCCCCTCGGGATCTTGGGCACGCACGAACATGTGCCCGGTGTGATTTTAAGCCACTGGGTCTGGGATTCAAACTGCGGTCAACTACATGGGAGACCAGCGACATAGTCATTACGCTAAATGCTGGTCCCCAAAATGAGCTTTTCCATCCAGAATACACTGTATATTGGCTCAGTCAAGCACATCAACATACATGTTATCGTCAACAAATAATTTTCTATTTCTTATTTCCTGTATATTTTGCTTTTTTTCCCATCCTTGATTCCCTATCTCTCACCCTCTGCTGTGTCCCACCCTCCTCCCACACTGTCTCTGGTACTCATGGTTGCTTTCTATGCCTTTTCTTCCCCCACATTTTGTTGATTCGCTAAAGATCTTAATTAATCTAAATATTTTCAATAGCAAGCGCAGCTGATATATACATATCCACGAACAAAAGTCTGACTTTAGGCATAAACCTCAGTGAGTAGAATGAAATACTATAAAGTAGCACCTAGCTGGGGCTATATAGCTTACTGCAGTCATCAAATAGGTATTTTTAATGCATTTTTTTAAATTTTAAGAAAAACATTTTTTGTGTTTTTTTAAAGCCTAGAAGAAAAGCAGCAATATTTTAGTCAAAAGTCATAGAATGCTATTTCACCAGTTCAGTCTCATTTACTTAATCTACCTTCTGTTGTGGTTCAATTAAAACCGGACAACAAAGCCTAGAAGAAAAGCAGCAGTATTTTAGTCAAAAGTCACAGAGTGCTATTTTACCAGTTCAGTCTCAGGTACTTAATTTATATTCTGTTGTAGTTCAATCTTCCCGATTGAAGTCTGGGATATAATATTCAACTCCAGACTTGTCCCTATGATTAAGTTGGTCATTTTCTTAGTTTTTGAACTCTTATTTCTATGTGACTGTATTTAATTTTCCTAATACAGCACTCCCTTGAGAACTTCTTAGAGATCTGGTCTGGTACTAGTAAATTCTTTCAGGTTTTGTTTATCTGAGAATGTTCTTGTCTTTTCTTCCCATATGAAGGATAATCTTGCTGGGTACAGTATTCTTGGTTGAAATTGCCTTTCCCTTAACACTTTGAATATATCTTCCCATTCTTTCATCGCTCACATTGTTTCTGATGAGAGGTCAGCTGTTAGCCTGATGGGATATCCCTTGTAGGTAACTTGCCGTTTCTCTTTTACCAATCATAGTATCTTGTCTTTGTCTGTGGTTTTGGTCAGTCCGGGTATAATGTGTCTTAGACATCTTCTTGGGTTGATTCTATTTGGGGTCCTTTGTATTTCCTGGGACTGTATCTTTGAGTGCCTCTCTAGGTTTGGAAAGTTTTCTTGCAGGATTTCATGGAATAGATTTTCCATGCCCTTATGAATCTCTTCACCTTGTGGGATACCAATTATCCGAATGTTTGGATGTTTGATGGTATCCAGTATTTCTCTTACATTATTCTCATTTTTGGGGGGCCATTTTCTCGGTCTTTGTGGTGGAATTTTCTAGGCCAGCAATTTTCTCTTCTACATCTGAGATTTTCTTTTATTACCTAGTCTGCTTTTAATACTTTCAAGGGTGATTTTGACTTCCTGTATTATAGCCTTCATCTCTAAGAGGTCCCTTTGATTCTTTTCTAAAGTGTGAAATTCCTCTTTTAGATCTTGCAAGAATTTTCTCACCTCCTAGAACTCATCAGCTTCTTTCTCCTTTCTCTTCTACAGTACATTATCTCTCTTCTCTTCCATTTCTGTTAGCTTCGCCATTATGAATGTTCTAAATTCTTTATCAGACATTTCCATGATTTCCATTGAACTGTCTGTGGATGAAGAGGAGCTATTCTTTTCAATTGGAGGAGAGGTATTTTCTTGCTTTCCCATATTTCTTGTGGCCCTGTGGTGATTTCTACTGATCTGATGGATGGTATATTTCTTCCCAAACTTGAAGTTCAATCTGAGACTTCAGGAGCACGCAGAATGAGGTGATTGGAATCTCTTTGCCATTCTGTTTTGATTCCACTCAAGTTTGTGGGTTGGGGCTGAATTATCAGGAGAAAATCTTCATTTCTTTTTTCTCTGAAATCACTAGTTCTCTGGAGCCATGAAGGTGTCTTCTTCTCAAGCCCTGTCCCCTTGCCTCTCCTCCATTTAATATCCATCCAATAAAGGAGCTTGTTATATAACATAAGTGATAAAACTGGACTTTTCTATTACATATTTCAATTGTGTTCTCTACTTCTTTTTTTTTTTTTAAAAAGAATTATTTTATTTCATTTTATGCAGTTGTTATTTTATTTTTTTTAAGTTGACCAGAGAGAGACAGAGAAAGAAGGAAAGTGAGAAAGCAAGCTCCCAAGTCTGAGACTTGAGCCTCAGTCAGCTATGTGGGAGTCTCCACCTTAACCACCAACTCACCTGCTGTCCCCCGTCTTCCTCCCCCCCCCAAATTTGCCGGAGGGCGGGGCTGGCAGGTGGCTTGATGGAAAAGGGTGCTGGTCTCCCACATGGCCGACCACAGTTCAAGTCCTGGACCCGATGGCTTGCTTTCTTACATCTCTCTCTCTGTCAAATTAAAATAAATAAATACATAGACAGATAGATAGTTAAATGGATAAGCAGGTAAATGGATAAATAAAGTTAAATAATTCTTTAAAAACATTTGTCAGAGGGCACCAGTGCTTGCCAGAGTTACAGAAAGAGGGAGTGGGAGAAAATATCCTCCAATGGGGTGTTGTCATGCCACAATTCCTTTTCTTCCATTTTTCTATCCTTTCAGGATTTAGGGCACGCCTACATATGTGACTGGTATGTCCCTTAAGTCACTGGATCTGGGACTTGAACTGTGTAGTTGGTCATGTGAGATCTGGTTCTTTTAACTACCAGGCTAAGGGGCTGGCCCCTAAATGCTGTTTTCCTATTGCATTTTCTAAATATGCAAATTGTAGCACTAATTTCCTTCTTATTAGTTTGCTAAAGGGCATGTGTGGTCTCTGGAGAAAGAGAAAGAGAGAGGGAGAAGGAAGTGAGAAAGGGCCCCTCATGGGGAATGATGATGCCACAGTTCCTAATCCTCCATTTCTCCCTCCTTTTGGGATTTTTGGGTATGCACACATGCCCAGGGCATTTTTCAAGCCACCAGATCTAAGACTCAAAATGTATAGTCAACCAACTCTATGCGATCCAGCTGCCTTAATCACCCACCCCCGCCATGACCTGACCCCTGTATTACTTTTATTTATAGTTTTTTTTTTTTTTTTGGTTCTTGCCATATGGCATGTGCGTTCAGTTCACTGTAAAGAGACAGAGAAAGACAGAGGGAGGGAAAGTGAGAAATCATCCCTTAGAGGGGATGGCCATGACTCAATCCCTTCTCCCCCATTCTACTCTCAAGAGTTTGGGCACGTACAAACGTACCTGGTGTGATTTTCAAGCCACCAGATCTGGGACTTGAACTACAGTTGGTCATGTGGGAATCTAGCACCTTAACCACCACCCCACCACCTGATGGCCCCATGTATTGCTATCTTTTTTTTTAAAGAATTATTTTATTTTATGAATTGTTGCTGTTATCATTATTATTAATATAACAAGAGACAGAAAGAGAGGAGAAGGAAAGTGAGAAAGCAAGCTGCCAGGTCTAGGACTTGAATCACAGTCGGCAATGTGGGAGTCTAGCACCCTACCATGCTACCTGCTGGCTTCCGCTATCTTTTTTTTAAAAGAATTATTCATTCAATTTTATTTATTCATTCACTCATTTACTTATTCATTTTTCATTAAGAATTTATTTATTTATTTATTTATGTACTTTTAAAATTTGACCAGAGAGGGATAGAGTGAGAGAGTGACAGAGGGAAAGCAGGAAAGGAAGCTGCCAGGTCCAGGACTTGAATGATAGTCGGCCACGTGGGAGTCCAGTGCCTTTAACCACTTTACCACCTGCTGGTCCCTCCATTCATTTACTTTAATTTGACCAGAGAGAGACAGAGAAAAAGAGACAGAGAGGGATAAAGAGACAGAAAGAATAAGGAAAGTGGGAAAGCAAGTCACCAGACCCAAGACTCAAAGTCAGCCATTTTGGAGTGTCAAGTGCCTTAACCACTATGCCATCTGCCAGTCCCTCCCACCCCCGCTATCTTTAATAAAAGCATTACTAGCTATTTTCCTACAACCAGGGGCTGCATCTGATTTAACTAGTAATTAGCTGCCAAATGACATATAGGACTAATATTTTACATCGCTTTATTTATTTATATTTTCTTAAAAAGAAGTATTTTATTATTACTATTTTCTATTAAGAGAGATTTTTGCTATAGGTTATGTGTGCTTGCCAGAGGAATAGAGAGACAAAGTGAGAAATCACCCGAGGGGAGTGGTGGCAACACCGCAATCCCTTCTCCATTTTTCTCTCAGCATATTTCGCATGCATACACACATGCCCAGCATGAGTTTTAAGCCACAGGGTCCAGGATTCGAACCTCGGTAGACTACATGGGAGTCCAGCAACATAACCATTATGCCGTCTGCTGGTTCTTCTTCTTATTTTTTAATTTGATGAGAAAGAGAGAGGGATAGGAAAGTGGGAAAGCAAGCTGTCAGTTCATGACTCAAATCGTGGTCAGTCATGTGGCAGTCCAGCACCACAACCAGCATGCTGCCAGCCCCTACATAATTTGAATAATTTATTTTTTAAGAATGTATTTAATTTTGGGGCTGACAGGTGGCGTGGTGGTTAAGGTGGCTAGTCTCTCACATGGCTGATCGAGGTCTGAGTCCCAGACCTGGCAGCTTGCTTCCTCACTTTATTTCTGTCTTGTCTCTCTCTCTGGTCAACTTCAATAAAATAATGATAATAATGACAATGAATAAAGTTAAATAATTATAAAAAAAGAATTTATCTAATTTTGTTATTATTTTAAAATTTGGCCAGAGAGAGAAAGAGAGAGACAGAGAGAAAGTAAGCCACCAGGTCTAGGACTTGAACTGTGACTGGCCATATGGGAGTCCAATGTCTTACTATGCCACCTGCTAGCCCCAATAATTTCTTTTTTTAAAAGAATTATTTCTTTAATGTGGCTGGCAGGTGGCCTGGTGGTTAAGGGCGATGGACTCCCACATGGCCAACTGCAGTTCGAGTCGTGGACCTGGCGGCTTGCTTTCTTACTTTCTGTCTGTCTCTCTTACTCTGTCCCTCTCTGGGCAAATTTAAATAAATAAATAAATAAATAAAGTAAGTTAAATAAAAGGATACTTAAAAAAAATAATTCTTTCTTTAATTTTATTTATTATTTAAAATTTTTTTTTCTATAGACACATATGCTTATCAGAGAGAGAGAGAGAGACAGACGGGGGGGGTGGGGGAGGGAGTGAGAAAGCAAGCTTCCAGGACTGGGATTCAAACCGCAGTCAGGCATGTGATAATCCAGAGCCTTAACCACCATGCCAACCGCTAGCCACTTAATACTTCGTTAATATTTTATTAATTCTAAGTTGATAGCCCAATCAGTTTTAACTAATTTTTATGGCTGTCGTCCTTTCTTCTTCTTGCTAAAACTTTGGAAAGAGGTAGGAAGATAAATACATAGAAGTGCCAGGAGCTTTTACACTTAATCACTAATGTGTTTAAAATCATATTCTGTGTGTTCTATCAGTAGTCTCAAGAGATACGCTGGTCTAACTTGAACAAATAAAACCATCATTACAATGACTCTGTAGGCAAAGGGAACAGAACTATCTTTTCTTTTAGGCAGGCAGTGGCTGATGTACAAGCCCTGGGAAATGTTGCTGTACACGCTGAGTCCACTCAGAACAGTGATAATTTAACATTCCCTATTTCGAATACCTGTCTCACTTGTAAGGTCTGCCCTACTGACCTGTAAACTTTAAAGAATGGACTGCATGCCAGAGGGAGACAGGGTGAGAGAGATGCCTGTACATTCCCTACATTAGGTTTTCTAGACAAAGTTGCTGAGATCCTTTGCCCTATTTATTAAGGGACAATAAATGGCTTTCCCCTTCCCTTTATTTCTGAGAACTAAAGGTCAAGCTGAAGGAGTAACTGCTAGTGCAGAGGTTACAGAAGGCACCTCATAAAGGGTCTACTTACTGCGATGTTGTGACTGTTGGCACTGTTCTCTCCCAGAGCTTGGAGGAGCTGATCAATAGAGGAATACGGGAGCCAGACCATTGGGGATGTTGCAGACAGTGGAAACTGAAAAGAAAATGTCTATTATTTTAAAAAGTCTGGGTAGCTGCTTTCATAGAATTTTTTTTAAAAATTATTTTATTTACTTCATTTATTATCATCATTATTATTTAGTTTCTAATTTTACCAGAGAGAGAAAGAGA